CAGTAATACTGCTGCTACTGCGTCAACAGGTCAGTGTTGGGTGTCAACAACACACAGTAATACTGCTGCTACTGCGTCAACAGGTCAGTGTTGGGTGTTAACAACACACAGTAATACTGCTGCTACTGCGTCAACAGGTCAGTGTTGGGTGTCAACAACACTCACACTAATACTGCTGCTACTGCGTCAACAGGTCAGTGTTGGGTGTCAAACTTGACTAGCAAATTAAAAGAAAAACCAAACGTTCTACGACGTTCAAGTATAACTAAGTTTTTGGACAAAAAGAAAGCTAGTTTGCTGAGTTGGAGCTGCAGTTAGAGAACATATATAAATACAGAAGATACGGTATTTCACGATGGTTAAATCCTGCCAGTTTTACTGGGGAGGCCAGCTAGTGGTGAAACTAGCGTTTAATTTCCATAGCCTTTAAGATATTTCACTTTTTAGAGATTAGCCGCCACGGTGCACTGGCTCACTTGTTTCCAACTTCCTTGACAATAAATCATTCAATAATATTTCCTAACTAAAAAAAATAAATAGTTCGATCATATTTTTGTTGCTACCTTCTCATCTTCGGAAATTTTGTGCTCGCCGACGTTGCGCCAGAATTTGTCAACGCCGTTCTTGAAGCAGAGAACTGCCATCCAGCGCGTGTTGGTGTCCAGGGACTGGTTAAGGTAGACCTGCACAGACAAGAATCAACCTTCAGAACAGAAATAAACTCTTAGAGGCATAATATTTGCAATAGTTGATAACTTCATTAGCCAATCACTGATGACTTTTAAATCTAAACCCACAGACCAAAGGTGAGAAATCAGCCGCTATATGTACTTAGGCTGTTATTTAGCGAACTTTAATAGTAGGTATAGCCCTTGTTGCACAATGTGAAATATAGCTTTAGAAACAAGTCTTCTTGAAGCTAAGTAGCCTTAAAGGTAAATTACCAATTGAAAAAAGATGGTACAATAGAATAACTCGTCACAATGAAGAATTTCTTCTAAATAGATAAGTTGCCTAAACAAACGAGATTTATGAAAAGTACCTATACTAGTAAATCAGAATATATTATTTGTCCTCATTGTTTAACTAAAAGATTGTTCACCAGGTTGGTTTGTTATTAATAACAGGGCAACAATGATGAACATTAATTTGTTCAGTTAGTATAAGCATCCAAAGCTTTCAATATCCATCCCTCTTCAAGTTTAATCAGATTTTGGAGGGTAATTTAACGTGAAAAGGAGTTTAAAGGCCTTTAGACTAAAAATTAGTCCTATTAACTTGAAGGCAGAAAAAACCGTCCATTGAAAAGGAGCTTGATCATAAAATATTTCAAACTTAGATCTAATGTTCAAAAAGTTGGCCTATTACTCATTAAATTATTTAGTTCTTCAAACATATTAGTTCTAAATTTTGGTTTAAAATACATAATTCAATCACAATTTGAAGAAATTTCAAAATCCTATAAGTAAATCAAATTTTGAGGTTTATTGCCCAAAGTAAATAATTTGCTTATTAATCTGGCTGCCAGTCGGTTTTGGTTGAAACTTTTTCATGCCCTGGATATTTGAGTCTTAAAAAAAAACAATTTCACAGCAAATGCTCATCTCAGTTATCTGCAATGGTCTCATAAATCACATGACAAGTCATGAACAGAATTCTGAATAGTTTCGGTGGCATTTTAATAAAATACTTCCAATGACGATGAATAGTTAGACCTGCATTAGCGTAAGATAGAAGCCAGGCAGCTTCTCCCACTGCTGCAGCTGCTGCTCGGCAGGTCTGAGCAGCTCAGGCTGCTGAGAAGCAGCATCCCGCAGAACTGCAGCTACAGCCGCCATGCTGTCCGTGCTGCCGTTCATCTTAACGACGACCTCCTCCCGTGCTGATAATTAACCTGATGCAGCACGAGTGTAGGGGCAAGTGTGCTGCAAGGGCAGGGCTGGTGAAATGCTGCAATGTGTGCTGAAATTTTATAGTGAAAGTGTGTCCTGTAAAAGTGTGGGGTTGAATTGTCCTGTGAAAAAGAGATGTTCAAGTGTCCTGTAAAAGTATGTGGTTGAGGTGTCCTGTGAAAGTGTGGGTTGGGTTCAAGTATTGGCAAAAAGATTAAAGGGGGAAAAACTAATGACCAATCAAATTGGACTATTGAGTACTGAAGAAAAAGAATGATTTATGAATTACAATAAATGATAAACAATACTTCGGATTGATTACTAAAGAGATGGATCTAAAATGGAAAAATAAATTTAAAAAATAGTGATATTGAGAGATTTTAGATGATCAGAGCTCAGGAGGACAGTCATGCAATTTTGAACTCACTAAAGTTTATACAACATACAGAGATGTGTACATTACATTTATTCAACTATAGGCACTGAGTAAATATCTAGATCACTGGAGATATCAAAATGAACTGTAAATCGGGGAGATGAGGTTAAATAAAAATTGTTCCAAAAGTATTGGAATGTCCACAAAATATTGAAAATTTTAGAATAAATTTAGAAGTAATGTTATTTGTAGTGTAGAAAGGTTTTTTGTTAGGAGTGAGCTTGTTCATGTGCTAGTGAAGGAGGATGCTGCAATTTCTTGTAGGAGAATAACAGCCAAGTTTCTGATGCGACTATCTTGAGATTCTTTGAGTGGCATAACCAGTGAGGTGGCCACACTCACAGCAGCATCTGTTGACATCAATATATTAGGCCATTGATGATGTAACAGATTAAACATTGGCAAGCTACTTATACATTAATGAAAAAAGCTATATTAAAAACGCAGATATAACATTATCAACAATCTTTCCTAAAAACTTCATAATATGAACTTTAATAATATAATAGCAAGAGAATTTTTATAATATTGTGAGTAGGACAGTCTCTAAAATGGCTACCCCATTGTTTGCCATGGAAATTGTAAAACTAAATAGAATTCAAGCACGGGCCATCTTCTTATGGAAGGATTCTACCATAATTAATTTATACTCTCATTACCATAAAGTGTATACAAATTTTATAGCAGTAGAGAGGGAACAGTTGTTCTTCATTCAAGTTTCAGATCTCAGATACTGGTATGTAGCTTTTTTATACAAACAAAGCCCAAGCAAGAAAAAAAATAATAATTTCCAAGTAAGCAATTTTAATCTAACACAACCCAGGTAGGTAAAAAGTAAGAAAAATAATTTCCATGCATCTGTGAAATGAGTCAGCTCTTGCAGGGAAATCAAACATGGCACTCACGCTGACCAAGCTGACTAAAGTAAAAGAGTGCAGTGAGTGCAGATAGGACGGTGTGAGTGTCACTGGAAGACAGGCAGGGCAGCAGGAGCGCTGGTGCTCCGCACTCAATTAGATGAGGCACAATGCCAGGTGCTGTCAGAGTCAGAGATAAATAAATGAAACAGTTAAGCACCAGGTCATTTATCAAATTGACCGATCAATTTGTACAGTCAAGTAAATTTAAAGTTCTTTTGACATCTGTTGAGTGGATAATTAGTATCAGATGAGTACATATTCTTTGAAATAAATAATTTCAATTTAATTACTTTAAACTCACCTAAAGTCAAGTTGCAGATTCCAGCAGCAGCAAACCGTTTGAGTAATAAACTCTCATTTGGGGTTGAAAGAATGCCCAAGAAAATAGGCACAACCTGGGCGTCTTTCAACCAAGTGAAGTTGAGGGGATCGTAGCCAAAGTTGGCAAGATTGGCAACCAACTGCTGTCTACGGTCTGCAAAGACAGAGAAAAATATAATCCAAACAACAACAAAAGTCTAGCAATAAAAAGAATAAAAAAGTGTGCATATTCAAACCCAACATCATTTGTGACCATTTCCAATATCATCAATATATATACCAGATATTCAGTCCTAAATATCTGAGGATGTGCAATCAATGATAAGACATTCCTTTACAAGTAAATAAAGTGTTTGCTCAGATGCGTTTTTTTCCTATCAGATAAGAATCTGTTGGGAACTCAGGTTTGGGCTCTTCCTCTCAAACTTAAGTCTGTCACGGAACACTGCTGCGCTGTTATGTGTCAGTTTCATCAAAACTTTATTTCAATTTTCAAACATTTCTGCATCGCAACCAAGGATTAATCCATAAACTTAATTATAAATTTATTGGTTTCTCAGTATCATGAGCAGTTTAATATATCTCACATTTACCTTGCATTACCATGAGAAATGAAAATGTTTAGTAATATCTGAACAATCCTCAGAAATGTTAGAGAAAATTCCACATTAATCAAACCAAATCAGTTAAAATTTGGATATTTTCAATAGTCTACCAAAATAGATTCAAAGTTTCAAATGGATGCCCAAATTTTACTCAAAAATATGGCAAATAGGTAGTACCGTAGTTAAAGCATCTATTCCTGAAAAGAAGTTATTCTATTTGGAAGCATAATCAATTTTTTATTTACATCTAGCAAAATTATTGTTAGATAGGTACCATACTATTACATTGTTGGCGGGGGTGGTTTAGGCTACTTTGCAGCACACCCTCTTGTTCCTCTTATATGTTGTCCCTTTTTTTCCCTCTTATGTGTGTTACTGTGTGTTTATATTGAAGTGTTTAACTATTTTATAAATTCAACTAAAATAATTTTCATTCTTTTCAGGTCAGGTTTAGATCAGTAATTGATTACATAAATTTATGCCAAAAACTATTCTAAAGTGTGGTGCTGTATAAATTGCTGTCCCACGCTCCCTAGTCCCTAACCTCTCAAGTGATTTGCTGGAAAGCTCTCCTTAGTCCTTGACCTCTTGAGTGCTTAGCACCCTATAAACCTCCTGACTGACTTGCATTGGAAGCAGTTATTGGTGTGCATCTTACTCATTGGTCCGTGTGCATTTTTACTTGGCGTCATATTTAGTTCAGCTTCAGCTAATCAGTTTTACACATTTCCCTTTATTCTGTCACTTTCACTGTATGAGATCCCAATAGTTATTAGAACCAGTATTTGCGTTTCATTTTCCTTTTCAACCTCTAGTCATCATATTAGTTTCACTAATTCTTGGTTACCAACAAGTAGTCAAAGTAGGCGACGAGTTCGTCTCACCCGCGTTGAGACACCGGTAACAACGTACTTTTTATGTTAGATCATAGATTATTTCCTCTGTGGCAAAGCTGAAATAGGTACCTATCTATTATATTGAGGTGATGCATGAGTTAGGAAGACATTGCTGCAGCTGCTACAAGTTGAATCATCTTGCGCTGCAATGTACATACATTGGAGCTGGTATTACTCTATGCGATGCATGGGTTACATATCTTGATGAAAATATCAGTTAATAATATGTTACCTATTATGGCAAGTCAGGGAAGGTAGTTCAAGTGTGGTGCCACAAGAGTAGGTAGTGAGGAAGAGATCTGTGTGCAATGTGTCAAACAAACCACTGAGGCGCAGGCCTCTTGTGAATCAAGTGAATAAAAGTATGGACAACCCAAACATGGGCCAGAAAGGCCACTGGCCACTCTCCATGCCCGTTGGTCTCCTTGCAATCTCCAACTCACGTGTGAAGTTTTTTTACCCTTGTCATCACCACTCGTGCAAGAAGTTCTCTTACGCTGGCCATCTCCACTCCACAAGAGAGGTTCTCCTATCCTTGTATCACTTCCCAATTTGTATGAGGTGCATTTTATTTAGCTGATGGAATAGTGAGTGAAGAATTTTGTATTCAAAGTGAAGAAGTCAATGAGTAAAAAAATCCGCTCATTGCATTGTAGTTCAGTTGTATTACCTGTAGGTGCTGGTGTTCCCTTTAATATACTAATAATTTCATTATTAGCATTAGTTGTCATGCATTAATGCTGTTAATGTAATATTTCTTATAAGTAGTAGGTATATTAGTATTATTTATGCAAGTAGTACCGTAATGTTTGGATCTAATAAGAACATATGGATTATCCAATGCAATTAATCTAAATTTGCAAGATTGAATTTAATTGGATATTTGGTGCAAAAAGAACAAGATAACTTCTAATTCTACAATATAGCCAGGAATGATCCATAATTGTAAATTGTATGATGCTGTCAGAGTCATCGCTTGCACTACTAGCGCACTAATAAACGTGTTATTTGCAAGACACAGGTTGTATTGGTGCAAAGGCTATGCTCTCGCCAGCATGATCTCACGTCTCGGACAAATTTACGACTGGACTCATGGCCGGTCTCATGAGAATTTGGAGATTGGCCGCAAGTCCGGCCATAAATTTGTCCAAGACGTCAAATGATAAGCTCTGCTAATTTCTGCTCCAGTTGCTGAGCACTTGCTTTGAACAAACATGTTGGTAATATTCTATTGTGTTGCATTTTCAATACAACCAAATACATTGTAATAATTTTTATGTACATTGATAAGTAATCTTCATTTTTTTCAAACCATCAGGTTTATACTGCATGCCATAAAGAATACATAATTTGTATGTTCAATTAATCAGCAGTTGGTTTAGAATATTTGTCTTTAATATTGTATATTTGAAATGTGTATATTTTTTCTTTTAAAAACATTGTTGCCCAGATTAGTTTTTACTGAAATCATTGCACAATATTCAATCATATTTCAAGAACACTGCTCAAAGTAAATGCTTGCATGTCCGCATTTTAGAAGGCAGCAACTGCAGGTCTGCAGAGTGCACAGTGACATCTGTGGAAGAAGCTAGGATAGATGCAGTGCACTAAAAAAAATTATTTAGGTATGGTATGTATTTCTAGGCTTTATGAGTATGGCAATGAAAGGACTAAAGGAGTATGTAATTTTTATACTACATTGAGATGTTACTACTCGTTTAAATATTGAATTGTGAAAACATTGTAAATCACGGTGCCATTCTAGATGCATTCTTAATCACCTACCATCTACTTATGGAATTTTGTAGCACACCCACCGTGACCCATGTCCACCTTCAAGTGCACTCAGCATCGCACTGAGATGCAGCGTCAGAACCAACATAAGTAACCAAGGAATTTCCCAGTTCCAATCTTTACTGATTTATTTATATGAATTTCAAAAATCCAAATATTTCTAAAGGGAGTTGCGACAAGACCATGGGCATGGGGTAAGACCAGGGTTGGTGATTTTTTTATTTTTTCATTATTTTTTTATTTATTTGATTTTTGTTTTATTTTTCAGCGTTTTCGTTTTTGTATTTTTGAAGTGTTATTTTTTATGTTGCACTTAGCCTACTAACAATAACAGTATATGGATCATAATGGATGGCCAAAAAAGGCACTTATTGCCTTCAATAATGGCCAACAGGCCAGGGTGGTGTTTACCACTTAGGGATTTTTGGGTAAACAATTATGGACAAGTCTAATTCGTTAGCTTTGTAAAATTTGTATGGAGCAAGGTAATGAGCTAAATATTGACCATTTAACTGGCTTCAATATACAAAAACACTTCAGGAATGCAGATCTTCTAAACATTGAAGAGTCACATAACAGATTGGTAGCTGATAGCACAGTGCACAACACTATCTATAGATCTACCTACTAGTTTTAGGTCCTATAAATCCACCAGACTTTACCCTCTATACACACCAACTAGTAGTGACTGAGTGACTGACTGCACTGTTCCCACTTAATTCAGACCAATAAATCAATACCTACTAAACAAACTGAACGATACCCAAACAAACCTCATACGACTTGAAATGAGACACAAGTTATGAGAAAAGCTAACACTGTTTGGAATAAACATGTGCACAATTCAAATATTTTATATCCATTCACTGCATTTAATTATTTTATATACCGTAAAATGGGGTAACTTTGACCACTTTTTTTCAAAATGATGCCTTTTTTTACTAGATGAGTTAAACTCAAATTGAAACATGCAAAATACAGGTCTATACTCTAGCTTTACTCACCATAAATTGCTGGCTCCTGCCTCTCATAGTTTTGATGTAATTTCAAAAAAAGTGATGGTCTTTGTTACCCCAGCTCTTGGGGTTTCTTTGACCGGGTGGTAAAATTAATTTTATTTTTTGGTAAAATAACTCCAGGTTGTGGTGCATTGTAGTAGAACTCTTCTTGTTACATATGCAAAAGACAAATTTTAGGAAAGTGTCATAGTTTGCAAATGTGACCACCTAATGGCAGCCGTAATGGGGTAACATTGACCAGTTTGGAAATTAAGTTAAAATTACCATATATAAGACTCTGTAGAGTCTGAAACACGGTTTGGAAATTAAGTTAAAATTACCATATATAAGACTCTGTAGAGTCTGAAACATAAAGAAAAAACATTAATAGGTGTATCAAACATAAAATATGTTTTATAGGTACCTATGGTAATTTTAACTTGATTTCCAAGCCGGTCAATGTTACCCCATCACGGCTGCCATTAGGTGGTCAAAGTTACCCCATTGGGGGGCGGCACCCCCCATTTGCAAACTATGACACTTTCCTAAAATTTGTCTTTTGCATATGTAACTAGAAGAGTTCTACTACAATGCATCAAAACCTGGAGTTATTTAACCAAAAAAAAATTGCAGGGGGTACTCTGACAGGCTTCAAATAATAGCTCTTTTCTGTAGGTCACATTATTAATTTTTTAACCTATTAGATATGCAAACTTTTTAAATCTTTCTATTGTGTTACGTAGCCTCAGTATTAGGCCGTTGATGGCCATTGACAAAATTTTTCTATGTCAAATCATTTTTGAGTTTTGGGGGTTTTGTCAAAAAAATGAAAAGTGGTCAAAGTTACCCTGCCGGTCAAAG